CTTATAGAAGCTGAAAGTTTTTTGATCTAATACTGTGTTCAAGGGGTTGTGGTGTTAAGAGTTTAGATGTATACTAAATTAACTTATTCTGTTTCATTTAAATTTATTTCAGTCTTTACACTTTAATTATGCTATTATCAGATATTAAATGTATGATGAATGTTATACAGTCATAAATTTCCTCAAACATTGATCAAATCATGATTTCAGTGAAACTCAACAATCTCCACAACCCTATAGTAAATATAAGTTTCCTTATCATAATGATATAGTTAACGGAAATTATCGAAATAAATGTTAGAGGAAAGGCAATGATAAAAATACCTTAATGATAGGACTGTGTGTATTCTAACCAGTTAGTTTACAACTATCAACATGGTTCAATGTAACAGTTGATGTAATCATGAACTGAATCACTTTTTGGTCTGGACATCAACAAACGTTACTTGGGAATTTGGCATAGATCTATAATGGCCATAATTAAAAAAAAATAGGAAATTTTGTAAGAATTATCGATTAGACATAATTTGAAAAGGTAATATTTTCTTGTTGTTCATATTTAAGACTGCTCTACGAACTCTGTATTCGTTTGGTTTCCTTCATATTCCTTACTATTGGAATATAGAACACACACCTCATCAGCTAGATATGCTTGTATTTTGATGTTTGTGTTCACAATGAGTTTCGAACGCATTACTTGACCACTTTAACACAATCATTAGATGTATGAATACATTAGGGATTCAGTTAGTATTTCAAATATCATAAATGTATAAACATTAATTGATATGAAAAAAATAACTGAATATACTAGAAAGTGAATGAAATGTAATCAATCAATTGACTAATAACTAAATTAACATGTTATCAATTGGTCAAATTATTGACAGTCAATGTAAGTTAAAAATGTAATTAAAAGTCACTTAGTCGTTATACACTTTATTCATGTAACACAAATTTGAAATAAACATTAATGAGATAAATTTAAATCTCTGCTTTCACACACACACACACACCCTCGTATTCTGCTTAATAGTCATTTAGTTTATCAAACATATAATTATACTTTATGAAAAAAACAATTCTTCAGATCAGTCATTTATTTCTTCAATCAACAATCAACTATTGAATAAATTTCA